ATCTACAATGTTTACATATGGGTATATTCGCTGTCTTCAATGTATGTCACGAATCACCAGTAAACATTCGCTATAATATCCATGAATCATTAGCTTTGTTGTTAAAAAAAGAACCATGCAATAAACCAATGGCTGTCGCATGCTTGAAATGCTAAAAAAAAGGAGAGAAGGACACTGGCTAAAGAAACATCGCGGGATCTAATCTTGAAAGTTCATCTGTGTTGAACTTAAGCTTGATGGTAGAAGTCATTATGCACAAGACTAAACTGTAATGCAAACACCAAAAAATTGGACTCACCCAAATTTTCGACTGTACAACTCCAGTCTTTGTTATGGAATGAGCAATCCATCGCTTTCGTGACGTCAAGCAGATAATACACGTGACTCCGTGAGCAGTGGACCATTGGTTGCAGAAAATCTGTGGCGCCCTGTGAGCAGTGGATCATTTTAGATGCGCTAACATCAGTAAAATGGGACGGGTCCCGGCAGGTTAAGAAATACCGCAAACCCACACATACTGACCAATAGCTAAACTTCCATTCTAACCATCCCCTGGAGTATAAACTCTGTGTTATCAGCACCTTGTTCCACAGAGCAGAAACGATTATTACTGACCCTCAAGTTCTCGATTTCACAGGCGCTAAGAAAATGTAGATATCCGACTCGGGCTTTAGATAAGGTTAATACACACAATACTCAGGCCAAGAAACTGTAACCAGAATCAGAGCAACAGGGGCACAAACAGAGGTCTAGTTGCTCTGCCCTACATATAAGGCCTGAGTGAAGGGGTCAGGAGGATTTTTGCCACACACGGGATCAAGATCTAGACCTGTTTTAGACCAACTAGAACCCTCCGGAATATGCTGGTTTCACCAAAGGACAAGACACCAAAGGAGAGTAAATGTGGGGTAGTTAATGCCATATACAGTGTCAAGGACAGAACTCCAGTGACACATGTAAAGAAACATATAGTAGTATTGAAGAGACTGAAAAATCCCTGAAGGCTAGGTTCTTAGAACATAAAAGACCTATGGCTCGACTACTTCGGAAGTCTCACAACATATACATATTGAATCGCCTGGACATTAAGTCTTTTTGAGTCAAGTAAGAATCTTAAAAAAGAGGCCATCTACATCAGGGCATCACAACCATCCTTCAACAAAGTCGGGGGACGCCACAGACTTTCTGTAACCTATCTGTATCTGTAAAGGCCGTATAACCGCCTTTCGGCGTAACACACCAGCTTCCATCTCACTGATCCACTGCTCACGGAGTCACGTGTGTTATCTGCGTGACGTCACAAGGTTTCTGACAGGCAAAACCTCAATTTTTAATGGTACATCGTAAACATGCAATCGAGATCGGGTCACACCAGTTTATATATTACTGTATTTGGTACTGAGCAATATCGTTAAGCACTATGGTAAAGCAAACAAAATTAATACATAGGTAAAAATTACTCTTTCTGAAATGCATATGGCATCGATAAGTTTCATGGGGTATTTGAAAGCATAAATGATTATTTAAAACATCTTTGTGCGTCTGTATATTGGTGACCTCGGTCGACGACAAAGAATCTACTGCAACGTAAAATCTATGGCAATTTCTTTAGCATGGATAGCCTCGCCATTCATGTGCACAAGGTGTGGTTTTATATTTTCATGCTGAGATGACTCAAGACATGGAGCTTTATGGGCACATAGAAAACAAAATGCGGAAAACTTGTGAGACACGTTACGGTTACGAATACAGTATATCAACACAGATCCCCTCCATATTTCAATATCTTGTGCATTCTGCATTGGTCATATTAGATCAGATATATTTCAGTCAGGATACAGAGCAAAATTGTGACGTCATACATTGAGACGACAGCCAAGAAAAATATGGCTCAAATTTGACACAATTTCGATTGATATAGAAAGGTACACGTAGCCTAAACCTGGTCAGACTGCTCCTGAACTTTAGCTGACCTTGGTCGGCTGGTATTAGGGGGGTAAGGTTGCGGTAAGGTCCTAAATGTATGACTGGGGCTTGATGAGTGACCTACCAAACTAACTTGTGTACATCTGACTACAAGCGTTGTTTAAAGCTATCTAGCAAGGATACAGAACTTGGTTATTGACTTTTATTTTCAAGTAATTTTTTTATATTTGCAGTTGGATAGGTTATGTCGAGATAAATTGTTTTACGTCACAAATGACCCCGACATGACCCGAACTGTTGGCTGTCAGCTTGAGTTAGGAATCACCTTATCAATACCAGGAACACAGCACTTCCGAACCATAAGTCTTGCTACTGTTTGGATATCACCATGGAGACGAAATAACATTCAGTCACACCCAATCGTGGTGAGCAATAACAAAAAAGCAATGACGTACATCTTGCGAATGACTTGGGAATAAATGGTACCCTGTCACGAAAAGCACCCCTCTGTGTCAGCTCTGCTCCATGTTCCGAGCCATTCCGGAAAATAAAACCACACCCAGTAACATAAATATGAGGGCATCCAGTGTACATAAAAGAAATCTACCATACAATGTTTACATATGGGTATATTCGCTGTCTTCAATGTACTATGTTACAAATCACCAGTAAAAATTCACTGTATCCATAAATTATCAGCTTTGTTATTGAAAACAGAACCATGCAATAAACCAATGGCTGTCGCATATTTGAAATGTTAAAAAAAGAAAAGAATGTGTCTTAAGAAACATCGCGGGGTCTAATCTTGAATTTTCATCTGTGTTGAACCTTAATCTTGATGGTAGAAGTCATTATGAACAAGACTAAACTGTATGATGCCAACACAAACAAAATGGACTCACCCAAATTTTCGACTGAACAACTCCAGTCCTTGTAAAGGGATAAGAAATATATCGCTTTCGTGACGTCAAGCAGATAACACACGTGACTCGTTGCAGAAAGTCCCGTGAACAGTTTGGATACGCTAACACCATTGAAACAGGGCGGGTCCTTGTAGGTTAAGATATACCGAAAATCCACACATACTGACCAATATCTAAACTTCTATTGTAACCACCCCCTGGAGTATAAACTCTGTGTTATCCGCATCTTATTTCACAGAGCGGAAACGATTATTAACGACCCTCAAGTTTTAAAAGAGGAGAAACGTCACATTTTACAGGCACTAAGAAATTTGAGTATACGTACGTACCCCACTTGGGCTTTAGACAAGGCTAATATAGACCCAAACCTCAGCAACCCAAAAACTGTAACCAGCCCAGGATCAGAGCAACAGGGGCACAAACAGAGGTCTAGTTGTTCTGTCCTACATGTAATGCCTGAGTGAAGGGCTCAGGAGGATTTTTGCCACACACGGGATCAAGACCTGTTTTAGACTACATAGAACTCTCGGGAATATACTGGGAGGACAAGACACCAAAGGAGAGTAAATGTGGGGTACTTAATACCATATACAGTGTCAAGGACAGAACTCAAGTGACACATGTAAAGAAACATATAGTAGTATTGAAGAGACTGAAAGATCCCTGAAGGGTAGGTTCTTAGAACATAAAAGACCTAGCTAGACTACTTCGGAGTCAAAACATATACATATTGAATCGCCTGGACATTAAGTCTCATTGAGTAAAGTAAGAATCTTGGACAAAGAATCGGACTTTTTCGCAGGAGGGATTAAAGAGGCTATCTACATCAGGGCATTACAACCATCCCTCAACAAAGTCGGGGGACGCCACAGACTTTCTGTAACCTATGATCCACTGCTCACGGAGTCACGTGTGTTATCTGCGTGACGTCACAGGATTTCTGACAGGCAAAAGCAATTTAATGGTACATCGTTAATATGCAAACGAGATAGGGTCACATCAGTTTACATATTACTGTATTTGGTACTAAGCAATATCGTTAAGCACTATGGTAAAGCAAAAAAAAATAATACATAGGTAAAATTATCCTTTCTGATTCAATAATGCATGTGGCAGCGGCCAGCTTAATGGGGGTATTCGACCACAAGAATATTCATTTAAAATATCTTTGTGCGTCTGTATGTTGGCATCAACAAAAATATACTCCGACGTAAATTGTATGGCAATTTGTTTAGATATGATAGTCTTTTTTTGTGCACGAGGTGTGGTTTTCTATATTCATGCTGGGATGACTCGAGACATGTGGGCACATAGAAAACAAAATGCGAAAAACTTTTGAGACATCGGTACGGTTAGGAATACAGTATATCAACACAGATCGCCTCCCTATTTCAATATTGTGCGCATTCTGCATTGGTCAGAAGGAAATCAGAAGCATTTTAGTCACGGTACAACCAAGGAGCTTTCGAAAGCTCCTTTTTGTAGAATGTCCTTAATACAATGCCAACATATTGCGACTCTAATAATTACCTTCGCCAACAAGGTTATGTTTTTTAGTAGCATTTGTCCGTCTGTCCGTTTGTCTGTCCGTTTTTCTGTTTGCTTGTTTGTGAACAGCATAACTCAAGAAGCTTAATATGCTATGAAAAACAAACTTTTCTCCAACTCAAAATTTGACTCACCAGACATTTTCGACTGAATCACTCAGTCTTCCTCAGCTATCTGACCAAAATGCTGTGGACACGTGATTTTTCCCACGTGTGACGTCAGCAAAGGGTCAAAGGTTGTCTGAAGTCGATATCGCCCCCCGTCCCGGTTGAGCGATGGTTGAAGTGCCCTGATGTATATGGCCTCTTTTATGCCTCTCTTGAAGTAATCCTGTTCGGTATCCAAGATTCTGACCCCCTCCAGATCCACTGTGTGTCCCGGTGATTCTATGTGGATGTGCTGTGACACCTCAGATGCAACAGAACTGGGTCGTCTATGTTCTAGAAATCTGGTTTTTAGTGAGCGCTCAGTTTCGCCGATATAAGTTTCCCGACAGGGGCCTCTGTTAGTGTTTCCCTGGCAACTTATGTGGTAGATAACCCCACATCTGTCTTCTTTGGGAGTTTTGTCCTTAGGTGCCACAAGGAGTTGTCTTAACGTACGATGAGGTCTGAAACAGGTACTCACTCCGTGTGCAGCAAAGATTCTACGTAGGGGCTCAGAAACACCCTTTACGTATGGGAGGACTACAACACAGTATAAAATGTTATTCTGTTTTTCCCTCCCGTTCCCTGACTATCTTGGGGTTTAGACCGGGGCTGTCTGGGCTCGGAGGCTTTCCTAATGAGCCACTGAGGGTAGCCACACTTCTTTAGGGCTTCTGTAACGTGCTCGATCTCGCTACTTCTATCCGCAGGATCACTGATGATGGTATTAGCTCTATGTAAAAGGGTCTTGATCACACCCAACTTGTGGTCCAAAGGGTGCTTTGAGAAAAAATTTAGATATTGGTCCGTGTGTGTCGCATTACGGCTTCGACTTCAGACAATCTTTGACCCTTTGCTGACGTCACACGTGGGAAAAACCACGTGTCCTCAGCGTTTGGGTCAGATAGCTGAGGAAGACTGAGTGATTCAGTCGAAAATTTCTGGTGAGTCAAATCTTGAGTTGGAGAAAAGTCTAAGTTTTTCATAATGTAATTTACCAACTCAGATGAACTTTCATGCTGATAAATCCATTGTTGGTGTGTTCCAAACTGACAGTCGCCATCTTGGATCTATGCGCTTAACACCAACATGGTGTCAACAAAAATAAATCGAAATGGCATCATTGACAACATGTATAATTTGCGTCTTGAAGGCGTTCCCTTTATTCAGACCCATACGTTTTCTCGCAATATTCTCTTCGAGAAACATAAATTGAAATTCCTTGATTATCACTTTTTAGATACATTAAATGCAAACCTTTTCTTGACATGGAACGTTTTCGTTTGCATAGAACTTTTCCATTGTGGTTAAATGCTACCTTTACCTATTTCAGGTGCCTACGATGGTGTCAAGATCTCTAGTCGAGTGTACAACTCAGCTTTGATCAACGGACGTGGTCGATTCCGGAACAACAGGGCGCCGCTCAGCACCTTCACGGTCCCTACCGGAGGGTCTGTCAACTTCCGGATCATTCACGTCGGTCCGGATTATCCGTTCCGGTTTTCTGTGGATCAACACGAGCTAACTGTGACAGCAAGCGATGGGTACGACATGGCACCTCGCAGCGTGCAGTCAGCCATTCTATACCCCGGAGAGAGCTACAATATACGGATTAACGGAAGCGCAGATCCGGATTTGTACTGGATCCGGGCTAAGACCCTGCGTGTCGGCCACTGCACAAAATGCTACCCGTACAATGAAGCCAACGTGGTCCCGGATGACGCCATAGAAGAGGTGCGGGCGGTTCTACGTTACCAAGGTGTATTGGCAAACAGCGATCCTAACACATCTAAACGGAACTGCAGCGCAGAGTATCCGTGTTATGTCTTTAACTGTCCATTTGCTGGCTACCCTGAACACTTGAACACTTTCTGTATCAATATCAATAAAGCAGAAGCTCCCGTGTCATCATTAGAGGGAGAAAAATCAAAGGTTACTGACAATGACGATGAACATTCCCTCATCACGGAAGCCTCAGACGTAACGGGGATCTTCTTAAACTTCAACTTCGCCATCGGGTCTTCCGTCAACGGTCGCCGGTTCATCGGTCCTACCGCCCCGCTTTACCAGGACAGCGCGGCGGTGATCGTACCGTGTGCCAAGGAACAGTGTCTCCGGAGCGGCTGTCGGTGTACACACATCATAGGTGCGATATTTTCTACCATTTTATGTTAACCGAAGGAAAACGCATTGGTTTTGCTACGTTTCCTCTTCTTCTTCCGTTCCAAACACTGACCTCTGACCTGACCAATGACCTGATTTGAACCAGACGTCTGTCACCATGGTAACTGGTGTTGGGTTACATCATGTTGCAATTTCCTATCAAGAGGGATTAAGACTCCTTTCTGACCATACAAATAATGTATTTGAGTAGCAACCTACAGAGCAGGCCATATGCGAAAGTAAACATAATGCATTTACTTTGCAAATGTGACCTTTCTAGTTTTAGTTCAGTTCAGTTTTATTCAAATTCGACTTGCATGTACATTAAACAATTTCGCATGAAATACGTCGAATTTTTACAGACACTGCTTTTCGTAAATTGCTGAAAATAGAAGAGCTTTTTCGAATTTGCAGAATAGAAGAGTTTTTTTTAAGTTTGTTTTACAAAAAGCGTTCATCGACTTTTTTTCACATCTTTTTAATTTTTTGTCTGACAATTTGTTTCCAGACATCCCTTACAACAAGACGATCCAGCTGGTGATGTATAACACCTTCGCCCCGGCCAGTCAGACGCACCACTCAGTCCACATCCACGGGCACGCCTTCCACGTCCTCGCCATGGGTTACCCCAGCTACAACAAGACTACAGGTAATAAAGAATTAAACTGTTCTCCAACTTAAGAAAAATGACTCAACAGGAATTATCGATCAAATCACTCGGTCTTTATCTGCTTTCTAACCCGAGTGCTGTAGGTACGTGATTTTTCCCCACGTGACGTCAGCACTGGGTCAAAGTTCGTCGGAAGCCGGTACCGCCTCCCGTCCCGGTTGAGACAAAGCTGGTATGCCCTGGTGTAAATGGCTTCCTTCACCCCTCTTCCAAAATAGTCACGTTCTGTGTCAAAGGGGAGACAGGGACTAACATCTTGGACACGGAACGGGATTATTTTTCGAGAGGGGTAAAGGAAGCCATTTACATTAGGGCATACCGACATTCTTTCAACTGGGACGGGGGGCGGTACTGACTTCCGACGAACTTTGACCCAGTGCCGACGTCACGTGGAAAAAAAACCCGTGTCTACAGCACTCGGGTTAGAAAGCTGATGAAGGCTCTAATAAAATTTCTCTGGACTTGAACCAGTGACGAAACTCGGACAACTCGTGCATTCGAATTTTGCACAGTTGTGGATTCAACATGATCCTTATTGCAAACATACCTGAAGGTCGCTACGTCCAGCCTAACACTGATGTGAAATGCAAGAACGAGCTGTGCACGGACGCCACCTGGCGAGATGAGCCGCTGCTGCTCAACCTGATGAACCCGCCACTGAAAGACACCGTCCTGGTTCCTGCCAACGGATACACTGTGGTCAGGTTCAGGTAAGCAATCGCGGTTCAAAAGTTAAATTTGCAGAAAGCTATGTTTAACATTTTACTTAGTTGGAACTAACAAATTTTGCTTCAGAATACATTATACCTACACGGCAGTGTTGTTTTGGGTCAGGCTAAGCTGCCAGTTTGTAGATATGTTTTTTTTTTTTTCGAGGAAACAGAGGAGGTTGACAGCTCGGGATGGGGCAGAGATTGACAGGCAGAATGAGAACAGGTTAAACGTCTCAGAGCAGAATCTGGCCAGCAGGGATAAGAGGTCGGCATGGATGAACTTCAGGAAGTCTAGGATTGCATATATTATACTTCTCGGAAGTCTGAAATCTTCTTTATTTGTATATTGTTTTTTCTTAGTTTCTTCTTCCAGCCGTTCCAAACACTTAAAGCCGATATCCTGAGCCAGACGTCTGTCACCATGGTAACTGGTGCTGTAGCAGACACCCTGTGGTGTTGGGTTACATTTATATGTAGCAGAACAGAGTTGAAGAGCCTGCTCACCATACATATGAATGCATTTAACTTTGAGAACAAACAATTCTGTAGTTTTTTGGGCTGTAGCTAGATCAGGTGAATTATGCATTTTCTTTGTAAATGTTACCGTTCAACTTCTAGTTCTTGTTTGTATCTGTTAGGTCTGACAACCCCGGGCACTGGTTCCTGCACTGCCACAACGATCAGCACATGAACGAGGGGATGGCGCTGGTGCTGCAGGAGGCGGCAGACCGGCACCCGTCCCCGCCCAGGGGCTTCCCGCGCTGCGGTGACTTCACTTGGAGCTCGGAGGAATACCAGCGTGCTCTTGAAGATAACGGTAGGTCCAGTAATAAGATGAGATGAGATGGAGATGCGAGGAAAGATTAACGTGGTGTCCAGTCTATCGTGGTTGGGGCGGGTTTTCTTCGGGGCTGCAGGAGCTTTTCCCCGTCCGACTCAGCTAGGTTTCCCCGATAGGTTTTTTACAACGGGAGATTGTAGGATCTGCTTGGAGATTAGTCGAGGGACCATGGATGGCTATCCCTGACAGAAACTATGCTGGGGTATTGAACGGATGAGCTATACATAATTCCGAACACTGATCTGTATTTTTTCAGGCTCACTAGATATCCAGACAACAGCGCTTGACACAAAGGTCCTGATCCTGTCTACTGTGGTAGGAGTTCTCGCCATCGTCATCATTCTGGCAGTGGCAGGATACTGTATCCTCAAGATGAAGAAGAAGGACGCATCTTCACTGACAGTCGTGGCGGAGTCGGTTCCGTTAAAGTAACACGCCCTTGATGCAAAAGAGGAATTATTCTTCCATAAAAGTTCCTGTGAGTTAGTAACTTACCGTGGAGCAATTAAACTATTCTCCAATTTAAACAAAAGAAAGGACGTTGACTTACTTTATGGACGTGTGACGTCAGCAATGGGTCAAAGGTTGTTGGAAGTCTATGTCGCCCCCCGTCCCGTGCATAAAGTCACGTGGGCGGAGCGATTGGGTTAGATAGCTGAAAAAGACTGAATGATCATTTTCAGTCCAAGTGTTTTGCAGGAGAAAAGTTTCATTGCTACACAAAGAGTAATATTTCACTTTTAATTCCAAAATGGTCAGATCTACCATCCCTTATACATTTAAAGAGAATTTTAAGGTCAATGACATTAACACTGTGCTGCTATGGTATCAGGTTCTTTTAAATTCAGTTATCTTACAAAATAAGTTGGATGAACTAATAATTTAGAACACTACAGAATATTGATGACGTTTCTAATCACTAACTTCTTTTTCATGTATATATTGGTGTGATGTGAGGTTTCTAGCAATTTTTATTTAGATACTGCAGTATACTATTTCATTTTATTAAGTAATACAATGTGGCTTTATTCTTTTAACCATATGTCGATGCATGTAAGGAATTTAATAAAATAAACGAACTAATAAAGAATCATGCCAGTAGTATGACTTATTTTTCTGTGTAACTCACTATGCTTTGGTGTAATTCCTGGCAATACCGCCATGGGGCGTTTTTATACTTACCACTCTGCTTTAAGTTTGTTTATGCAATCAATTCGCTGATGTTGGCATACAAAAAAGATAAACGTATTCTTCCTTTATGTGTTGTAGATAGATATGCAGACCTGCCGAAGATTGTCTTTAGTTAATGTTTTATTATTAAACACAACTTGATCAAGGTCCCTAAATCTTTACTCTTACAGTTTCTTCGTGCAACAACACTTGGAATTCTAGATCTATACAAATCTCAAAGACCTGTCGAGTGAAAAATGTAGTTAAAACAGCGGGCAGATTATTATTGGACTGAGCAGAGCATTTTGGACTAATGTCTCTGGCTGTTTACAGTTTAAAGGTATACATGTACATGTCCAATATTTTGTCAAAAACATCTCTGTTACATAGCGGATCATAATGACCCCCAGAGGGGGTCTTCACGCTTCGTTAAAAATGGAAAATTCTCAAGATTTATTCCAAAGATCTCAATATTTTAGACGAAATCTTGAGATCTTATGAGACAATCTCAAGATCTTTCAGAAAATCTATAGATGAAAACGAAAGGTCTCAAGATTTTCCAAGATATTTTTAAACCATCTTAATATTTTTCCATAGCATCTCGAGATGCTTTAAAAAATACATCAAGATTTTTTAAAGATCTCATGATTTATAAAGCAATCTCGAGATGCTATGGAAAAATCTCAAGAATTATGCTTTGAAAACACTTGGAATCTTCTTCTTCTTCTTCTTCGATACTCTCTAACCACCCCTACTGGGGTATCACTGAGAGGGGGGGGGGGTGCGACGGACTATGGCTGCGCGGCCAGAAGCCCGGCCTTGAAGGCCTCCACTGTCTGGGCTTTTACAAGCTGGCCCGGTAACTTGTTCCACTCATTTATCGTTCTTGGAAAAAAAGAAAATCTAAAACAGTCTGTTTTGGCAGGTATTGCTTGATACTTATATTCATGACTTCCTCTGGTACGCCTGTGGGCAGGTTTGAGGTATTGTTCCATTTGAATATTAATATGTCCATGAGCAATTTTATATAAAGATATCAAGCGAGCGGTTCTCCTTCTGTCGACAAGTAACGGCCACTGGAGGCGCTTTAGCATGTCAGAAACCCTGCTGGTATAGTCATAATCACTAACAGTCATTCGCGCCGCCCTTCGTTGGACTCGCTCCAACGCCTGGGAACCACCGATGGTGTGGGGATCCCATACAGTCGCACAGTACTCCAGGTGTGGGCGTACAAGTGTTCTGTAGCATGTAGATTTGACACGAAGAGGACAGTGCGAAAGGTTACGGCGGATGACTGCCAGTATCCTATTAGCTCTACCAGTGACATAATTTATATGTGTGTCCCATTTCATATCCCGTGATAGTTGGACTCCAAGATATGGATGGGTTTTAACACTAGTAAGATTTTCTGAACATAATCGGTATTGTGTAATAATCGGGTTACGCTTACGAGTAATATGAAGTGTGTGGCACTTTGAGGGGTTGAAGGACATTTGCCATGTGTCCTGCCACCGGGTCAGTGCATCGAGATCTTTTTGTAGATCAAGAGCATCTGAGGGTTTTTCAATAACCCGGTACAACAGGCAGTCATCGGCAAACAAACGCACACTAGAGGTCACAACACTCGGAAGATCATTGATATAAAGGAGAAACAAAGCGGACCCAAACAGTGCCTTGCGGTACTCCAGACACTACCTTGGCGGGCTTAGAGGCCACACCATCAAGGACAACTGATTGGGTTCTTTGAGTGAGAAAAGCTTGTAGCCATGTTAGTAATTTGCCAGAGATGCCATAGTGCTGGAGCTTATTCAGTAAGCGACTGTGGGGGACCTTATCAAAAGCTTTACTGAAATCCAGCACAATGGCGTCGACCTGCTTATTTAGGTCTAGAGTACTAGCCAAGTCATGGGTTGTCAAAAGTAGTTGACTCTCGCATGATAGTCCTTTACGAAAACCGTGCTGTGTCGAAGATAATATATTATATTTGTCAAGGTGGCTCATGGTATGGCTGTGTATAATATGTTCCAAAACTTTGCTACAAACTGAGGTGAGTGACACCGGCCTGTAGTTAACAGGTGAGGTTTTATCTCCCTTCTTAAAGATGGGGCTAATATTGGCGGCTCTCCAATCTGCTGGGACGTCGCCAGTGTCTAGTGACTGTGTAAAAATAACCTGTAGCACAGGTGCAATTTGGGTTGCTGTGATTTTTAATAATCTTGGTGAGAGTCCATCTGGGCCCGAGGCCTTGTTTGGATTAAGCTTAGAAAGCTGTTTGGCGACACCATTCACCGATATGTAGAGAGGTGGTGCGTGCGGAGCCACCGGTCTCCCTAGGGATGGGATGTTGGTTAGGTCCTCCTCTGTGAAGACAGAACTAAACTGATCACCCAGGGCATCTACCTTCTCCTTTGGGTCTGAAGTAAGCACACCATGATGCCTCATGGCTGCAATATTGGTATTGTCGTGTTTTAGTGCTTTTATATAACTCCAGAATGCTTTAGGGTTGTCTTTAATGTTTTCTTCAAGGAAATTGGCGGTGTACTCTCTGTGGGCTTTTTTAACTCTTTGCTTGACCGCTTTTCTGCATGACTTGAATTTGGACCATGTTTCTTTTGAGTTAGTGCTCTTAGCTTTTGAATAGAGTTTGTCCCTTTTACGCATCGCCCTTCTAATTTGGGGTGAAATCCACGGCTGGTTATGTAGGCATCTCGCCTTCTTCTTAGGAATGTGTTTGTTTGCTGTCGCTAGAATGTTTTCTTTAAAGTCTTCCCAGTTTTCCGAGGCTGTCCTTTTATTAGCTCTTTTTAGAAAGTTGTTACTATAGGTTTCCATGTCCTTCTGGAGTTGCTCCAAATTCCCCTTTCTCCACTGGTAGACTAGTCTGCCATGTTTGAGCACTTTTTGTGCCTTGGTATGCACATCAATTATTGGAATGTCGTGATCACTTAGACCAGGAACAATTTTGCTTTTTTCTACTAGAGTGGGATTAGAAGTGAAAAACAAGTCTAGAATATTTGCGGTATGTTCCGTACGATGAGTGGGTTCATTAATGATTTGCTCCAGTCCTACATCATTAACCAAATTAATATATTTATTGGTGAGGTTAGTGACTACACTTGAGGAATTACTGGTTATGTCCATACCCCAAGTTGCAGTCGGTAGGTTAAGGTCACCTGCTAACCATATATGTGGGTTACCAGGCTTCCTTCGTATGTTTGTAAGGGACTGTTCCAATGCTTGGTAGTCATCTAGACCAGCTGATGGAGGACGGTAGTAGGCTCCAATGTACATCGACTTACTGTGTACTAAGTCAATCTTGACCCAAGTTAATTCATTTGTGGTACTGAGTTCGGGATGATGAGTGGCTATAAGATTATTCTTGGTGGCGACAAAGACCCCTCCACCGCGGCCTTCTCTATCTTTCCTATGTGCCGTATATGAGGGTGGAAAAATCTCACTGTTACTTATTGATGAGTCTAGCCAGGATTCGGTTCCTATAATAATGTCAGGGTCCACCGTATCACAGAAGACCTGAAATTCTGCGGTCTTGTTTCGTATTGACTGAAAGTTAACAACTGCAGCTCTGAGGGGTTTACCTCGTGATCTCGTGATCGGTCCCTCGGTGGATGTTTAGGGACTTGGCTAGTCGGGGTAGATGAGGCTACAGGTGAGCCTACAGAACTCCCTGAGCAGGAGCAGGGGCTAGAATCAGGTGTCGGAAAAGCAAAACAGTTTGAGGTTTCAAATATAGTAGAATCAAACAAGCTGGAGCCAAGGTTAGGAAGACCGCAACTACAACAGATCCATGATATGTTAGGGCGATTAATAGCGTTATACACTGGTGTCGACATGCCCATACAGTCTGTGTGATACCAGGTGTCACACGTGTCACAACAGACTGCCCTGCGCCCATCAACCTTCTCCCATTTAACAGCTCTGCGACACACGCCACAAGGGTACTTCGGTGCTCGTGGGCCAGGGTTGGGCTGAATGTCTCCACCCCGTAGTATAAGAAGAAGAATATATAATACAGTAGCCTTTGGTTTCCTTAAAAGGATCCAATTCTGATTATGGTTATGGTTGATAATGAAAGAAACAAGTGGAAACAGATTGGAATCTTTCCAGTCTGACGAGTTAATACTGGTGATAGATGGAAAAATGGAATTGGGAAGTTGTATATTTGAAATGTTGTATATCTTGAAATTGTCATGAAAAATTTCAAGATTTCCTCATAAGATCTCAAGATTTCGTCTAAAATATTGAGATCTTTGGAATGTGGACCCCGCTGTGGGTCATTATGATCCGCTATGTAACAGAGATGTTTTTGACAAAATATTGGACATGTACCTCTAAACTGTAAACAGCCAGGCATTAGTCAAAATGCTCTGCTCAGTCCAATAATAATCTGCCCGCTGTTCAATACATAGTTTGTGACAGCTGGTCCGTAAACGTATTCCTCTTCATAGTAGATTTTAATCATCATCATCGGTCGGTCGTGTACAGTCAATATAATCACCCCTCAGAAAAAATGTCCTCCCGTATAATAGTAGACTGTCCCAATGACCTATGACTCCATGAGCGCCGTCTTCGATGTCGATGTCTCTTGAAGTTGACTGAGTCGAACCGCTGATCATGATATGATATTTTTCTCGCCTTAATTTTGTTCCCATTCAGTGTCCATAGGTATAAACGCGTTCATAATCGACTGCTGCAGCCGCATCTTAGACTTAGGCACAACACTTGACTTTTGGCACCACGTTTACAACTTGGTCAGCACGCCGCATGTGGGCTTCGCAAAGCAAAGTGATCTGTCAGGTTTGGCTGTAATTTGTTCCAAGGTTTGGAGGGAGAGAGAGGGAGAGAGAAAGAAAAGAGAGGAGGAGAGAAAGAGGGAGAGCTAGAGGGTCAGACCGTCAGAGAGAGGAAGAAAGAGCTAGAGGGAGAGAGAGCTTATTTGAGAGGGAGAGGGGGAGAGAGCTAGAGAGGGAGGGAGGGAAGGAGGGAGAGAGACAGACGGCCGGGAGGGAGGAAGAAAAAGAGATAGAGGGAGAGAGAAGGGAACAGAGAGAGCTAGAGGGAGAGAAGAGGAAGGGAGGAGAGAGGGAGAAAAAGAGCTTGCAATTGAGGGAGAGAGGGGAGGGGGAGAGAGGGGAGGGGAGGGAGAGTGTCTTGTGTAAATTGAGCCAAAGTACTACTAGTAGTAGTATGCCTTTTTGTAAGAATGAAACCTTACATATGCGTGGTGCACTAACATTAGTATCATCAACAATTATTTCTCCAGATCACCATGAACACAGTATGATGCATGTGTGTAGTCTACAACAAGCGATGGTCCACCCATATAGTCACCCAAAGCTATAATGAAGCATCTGGAGACTTTGCAGGAAAGATGTCTGATCAACGTTGGTCACAACCTGGAGTCCTATCCCCCAGACCTACTGTCCAGACTACCTGGCACCCTGGTGGCAGGTGTCGTACCTCACCTGTGCCAGCATCACCTCAACAACTGTCATGATGATATTGTTCAGACAGGTGAGACACACTGGTCACAACTGCATTATAAGTGCTGCATACCTAAACCCAATTTTAGGTTCAGGTCCGGATTCAAGTCCAGAGGTTTAGGTTCAGTTCCAGACTTGTAAGTCCGGACCTAAACCCATAGCATACTAGTATCACCCTCCCGAGCAGGGTAAGTGGCTCGGCCCGGAAGGGTCCTCCTCCACTAACCCTGCCAATCCTGATTCGATCTGAGCCTCCGGCCCAGGTAGCCTATAAGTATAACAAGCTGTCAGCCAACCAGAGACACAGCTTTCAATTGTGGAAAGCTAAGGGCAAAGGTCCTTGGGAATCCGACAGCCAATCACGTTACGTCTTACATCGCTGGTTTGGGTTTCCTGTAATGGCGGCTGGTAATGTTTTCTCAGCCGTGCAAGACTTTTTCGGCGTCGAACAGCTTCACGAACACCAAAAAGGCACGCTGCAGGGACTGCTTGATGGACGAGACGTGTTCCTTAGTGTGAGGACAGGCGGTGGGAAAATCCTGTGCTGCATGGGCTTTGCAGCGGCGGAGCTACAGTCTCAAGAGCATGTGCCAAATAAGGCAAGCTCATTAATATGTATAGGCTACCTGGGCCGGAGGCTCAGATCGAATCCAGATTGGCAGGGTTAGTGCAGGAGGACCCTTCCGGGCCGAGCCACTAACCCTTTGTTGAGCAAATATGCTGAAAGTTCAAGTAAATTATCACACATGGATTTTTCCAATTGACATACAGTGTATGTGATTGCAGGTGTTGACCCAAACCCAGTGTGGCAGACCCTCTTTGCAAGTCACTTCAAGTGGGAATCCAGAACAATGCTAAGGTACAACTTGTAGTCATAAGTAACATACATGTGTACAAGTATGCCTCCTAACACCTTTCTTTGGAACTGCCGGGGTATTGTTGTTAGACAATTTGAACTACCAGTTAAAGTTTAAAAAAGGATGAATGACTTGTTGGTGGTTAAGATTTATAAACACTTTTATGAATGTTTGTTAACTTTAAGTGCCTTTATTTGAGATGCACATGTAGGTTATGTAAAGGTGAACATCACTAGATTTAGATTTTGCCAATTGGTATGTCATTAGTATGATTAATGAATAAAAGATCCTGATCATGAAAATGGATAGGACTTTAAAGGACCTTTGTCCAGATCTTTTATTCATTAATCATTTAAAAATCAGCTTACAACTTGTGTAATCTGGGTACAATAAAAGGACAAAACCTTGCTAAGCAGAATTTTCTTTTTCGTATGAATAATGAGAAAAAGTACAATAAATTATGAGATTTGATATCGCGTGTGCAAGACACACAGAGCTGTGCATCATATCAAATATCATGCAAATTATCTCATGAGTTTGATCATTTATGAGATAAAAATAGTTGCCAAAGGGGTATCATCAAAGAAAAATGAGGTTCTTTCAATAATATAAAATACTGATATGAGTTAATTGAAAGCAACTGAATTCAAGTCCCAAACCTTTTGTGATAGTTTTAAGTTGGAAGACAAATATTTTTTTTTCCTATTTAAGAGTTTGTATCAGCAGAATTTTTCTACCAACTTTAAGGGCAGAGAAGACTGTCCAGTCCCAGGATGCTTGTTTGGAAGACAAACCTGACTGGAGACAGCGGTACCTACAGCGGTACTTCCACAGACTACTGTGGTACCAGTCACGTCCACACAAACCACAGGAGGAAAACCACAGAGGTAACCACTCGCTAATACAATGAGATATGTTTGACTTTTTTATGTTTACTGAAGGAAAACATATTGTTTTTGCTCAGTTCCTTCCTCTTCTTCTCCAGTGACCTCTGACCTGACCAATGACATGATTTGTTGACGTCTGTCACCATGGTGACTGTTGTTGGGTTACATAATGTTGCAATTTCATGGTCTGCTCTGCTCCTGTCACCATATACCAGTAGTACATGTATATGTGAATGTGTTTGAGTAAGAATTAACAGAGCAGACCATGTCCGAAGGTAAACATTATGCATTTGCTTTGCAAATGTTAGTTCTCTAGTTGTGTAGTTATATTTCAGTGTTATTGGTGTTATATGGTCTTTAACTTGAGATGCTGTTCACAAATCTAGATGCATATCCCTGAAAACATAAACTTCTTATTGAAGATTTTGTACGGCCAGCTCTAGTAGGCTGGTCGAAATTCATTTTTGGGAATATTAGGTGCACTGGTGCACCCAACCTGAAAAATTAGTCACACAAAAAGCTTTTGGGTTGCACCATACAAGATAGAATAAGAAAAATGTCAGCAAAAACCTAATATGTTTCATTTCTAAAGAAAAGTACTACAATGTACATTGTATTACAATGATTTTATCATGTAAACCTACAAAAATATTTGGGTGCACTGACTAACAGGTGCACATGCACCCAGTATTTGGAGCCCTGAATAGGTCTATCAGGTTTAGTAATCAAATTAAACATTGACAATGCCAGCAGCCAGTTCAGAACTCGGGGGACATTTAGGTTAATGTAGTGGCACCTCTCTCTCATTATTTCAGAAACCCTCCTGCTGACTCCTAGCTGCTCAGCCTGGTGTCTCCATGCTGCTCAGGACCTGATGTTGTATGGTCCACATGTCCACAGACTCATTCTGTATGACAGCAGGGTCTTCAACTACATCCTACAGCACCAGCACCTGCACAGGTTCACTCTCACCATTCTGTTTCACATACACACTGTACACGTAACTAGTAAACCACCTTCAAGCATAACACACCAGTTTTTTTACAGTACAAGTTGTGTAAAACAGGACTGTAATTTTTTAACCACTCACACCAGAAAATACCCCTGCTTATTTTGTTAAGTGTATGTGGTGGGATCTTTAATGTACTTGAGGTGTGGATCTCTTCAAACATGGGACACTGGCTAATAGTCCACCCAAGAGGACATCCCTAACTAAAAGCTACCTCATAACTCATTTTTAGCCAAATGATTGAGTGCACAACTCAGAGCACAACAGTGTGGCCTGCCAGGGACTTGAACCCAGAACCTTCAGATTCTGAGTCAACAACCCTAACAACAATATCTATGGCATGGACTGAAATAAAGAGCTTGAAGAAACAAAACTCTTGATCTTGTAGCTGGATGGGTAACCTTTCAACTCCTATCCTTCCGAATTATTCACTGATAGAGACAGTTGCTAGACTTGAAGGTGTCGATCCTCAAATGGAAACATGAAATTAACTGGGGTGTGCCCTCTTAAGCAAAAGAAACATACCGGTAAAGCACTTTTTATTTGGTTCAGTCTGTGACCATTTCTGAATCACTAATGGCAGTTAACCTACATGTACATGTATGTTACAGATGTCTCCATGAACATGTGGAACACCTGGAGCTGCGCTGGTTCCGAGGCCTGCCAGGTGTAGGGACCTTCCTGAGGAGATGTCTGGCATCACCTGTTTCCAGGCTGGAAAAACTGACCATGTACGGGGTACCCGGAGGTACAGACAAGTCAGCACTACAACTACTCAGTCTGTGTGCAGGCTCACAAACACATGCTAACACACTCTGTCCTCACTGTCACACCCCACGGCCTAGTCTGAATGATTCAAATGTAGAGGACTGTTCAAGAGTTGACAACTGTGATGTCAAACAAAGTGGTAATATGAAGAGGACTTTTAGACCACATGCTGGTCATTTGACCAGAATTCCACCACATTTACAGAACACACTCGCCCTACACTCAGATGATACTCATCGGGACAACAATGATGAGCAGGATCAAACCTCTAGATCTCCCAGGGGAACAGATACCAGCCACTCAGTCGATGAAAGTGTTTGGGACACTAAAGACAGTGACTCGGAGGATCTGTATGATATTGCAGTTAGTACTGTAGGTGCAGGTTGTAGTACACACAAAGACACACGTGTAAATGTGAACTGTTTGGAAGAGGAGCTCCCCTTACTGCCAGACTGTACATGTGAAACTACATGTCTTCCTGGACAGAACTCAGACACTGACAGGATCACTGATGATGAGAGTCTTCCCTTGGTGGTGCCACCTTCCACCAGACATCACAGCACAGTCAGGGAAGTCATCCTGCATGATGTTCTCACAAGTCCAGGTTTAATAAGGAACTTCTGTGGCCTGCTGAAGACATGGTACAGCTTGGAAAGGATCAGCATCAGTGGAGGTAAAGATATGAAGACAGTACACAGTACAGTAAGAGAGATTTTCCATAGTTTGATTTATTAATGGACATATCACACTTTGGGATTAAGTGTTCCTGTCAAAATCCAAAACTTGATTAAAAATTTATATACTAATTACAGACACATGAGTCTGTATCTAACACTAATTCTAAGTCACGAAGAAAACGGCAACATAACGTATTGAGATCTAGCTTATTATAATAAGAAGGAAAATGCTAGTAACGTAATGAAGAATGCAGCAGGCCTAGGGCTCGAAATACTGGGTGCATGTGCACCTTATTAGTGCACCCAAAATTGGAGCTGTGCACCCAATTTTTTTCTGTGGGTGCACCAGTGCACCCAAATATTTTTGTAGGTATTTTGGTACATATGAAATGTATAATAGTATACAGGATAGTCCTGACAAGTGTCAGAAAAATAATAAAAATTCTTTGTTTAGGATTTTGTAGTTAGCTGCTCCCATTTCAGATTCAAGCTCAGAAGTGTAGCAGTCAAGATCTGTAATTAGGTTTTGTTTTATACGGTGCACCCAGAAAAAAAAATTTGTGCCACCTAAGTTTTTAGGTTGGGTGTACCAGTGCACCTATTCCTAAAAATGAATTTCAAGCCCTGATGCAGGTATCAAACTGATACCTGTCAGGCCTCAGAATACTTTTTTCTGCATGCATGTACCTGCACTGGACACCAGGCAAGATAAGGTAGGCACTGGTGCAGGTAACATTGAAAATTACAATGTACCTGCACCAGACAAATTTTACCTGCATTGTGCTAAAAACTGTTCAGACACCATTGCACTTATTTCTTTTATTAGTTCATAGGTCACAGTCAGGTAAAGGTCAATGCAGTAAATGCCCACATACTTGTATACACTTGCAGGTATTAGGCACACTGGTAGACATCAGCAATAGTCCTGAACAGCTCTAATTTTACATGCACTAACCTGCATATGCAGGTTGTATTTTTGAGCCCTGTCTGATAGGACATGGCTGTGATGACAACAGTATTGTCCAGTCACTCAGGTACTGTTTTGTACAGGGTCCTACGACAGTCTACCCAAGGATGAAGTCATGAACAGTCTGTTGGCGTGTCAGAGGAAAGGAGGGAAGTTATCACATCTGTTCCTGGAGAATGAACTGCTTTCCCATTTTACATTTCCTAACATCCTACTCAGTCTGCTGCAAGCCAAACAAAGGTTAGCATACTTTTATACGTATACTGAGTGCTCCATCTTTGAGTAGATCTTGAGTAGCTCCTGGTGTAATGAGTACAGAAAATTATTGTTCAGCAACTTGTTCATAACTTTAGATATCAATGGAGAATGCACTCACTCCGCCAATTAATAATGTTTATAAGCATATTGGAGAATGCATGTATTGGAGAATGCACTGCCAATTCATAATGTTTATAAGCATATAGGAGAATGCATGTATAATTGGAGAATGTACTGCCAATTGTATTATGCACCACTAACATTTGGGAATTCTAATATGTTTGCAGTGTGTTCGCCACACTTTGAAGAACTGTGTTCTTTTCAGTGGTTTGACTGGGTCATCCTTGTTCTCCTCTTGATAGAAGAGATATACATCATTCATGGTCCAGGATGGAGGGAGGAGAATTCGTTCAGAATTTGGCATCTTATCTCCATCCTTTGCTGCCAATCCTTCCAGCCACACTTGTGCACAAAGGCTTCTTTGTGTAGGGTAGTCGTTGCCTTGACGGCCGTGTTCTGGGTTTTGGATCCGTCCACACTTGTACTGCTGAAGGTAGCTGTAGTACCTGTATTCATGGCAACAAATGGGCACAAATCATGAAAATTAGAATTCAATATGCTTATAAACATCATTAGCTGGCATGCATAAATCCTGTGTTGATAAAAGGTTTTTGTTGAGACCAACAAGTTGAACAACATTTTGTTTCCATGTGACAATGTCATAATACATGTATATTGAAATGCAAATTGTAACAGGGCCAACAGGTGTGCTCGCAGCATATTATGTTCCAGGTCAGTTGACATCATGATCTAAATGACAATTTTTTTCAGGCACCTATGCCAGAGTCATGCATGGTTTATCAACTTTATACAAGGAGTGTCTGGTTGTATTCTACTAATTATATAAGTTTTTTTCAATTACTTATAATAATTAGTCTTAAGAGGGGTAGGTAAGGAAGGTGACAAAATGCATCTAATTTTTTCATAAGGCCACACCAATTTAATTTCTTGGTTAACAGATTTTTCTAGAAAAAAATGGAGCGGGCGGCCGTGGGCGGGCGAAAAAAAATAAAAATAAAAACAGGCCTAGGCATCCTATTATGGCCCAAAATGGTACGACAGGAGCCATGAAGTCAACACACCAGGCTGGTTCAAAATTTAAACAATGAATTTTGAACTTTGCAAATCAGACAAAAAAGAGGCGGGCGAATCCGTTAACCAAGAAATTAAATTGGTGTGGCTTAACGTAAAGTTGATGTTGATGAAGAAATCTCAATTCCAAATTTCCAAACTTAGAGGGTTACAAATTGATCCTGGACTAATAATTGATTTTAATTATTTGATAGTGGGTACATCCTGATGATAAACATATAGGTGAGTGATGAGTGTAACAATCAGATACTGACCTTGAAGTACTGATACCATTGAGCTTTATCCAAGCCTTGTGGCATACAGCTTTTCCACTGATGTGGAATTTAGGATGGTTTGTCCCAGCGTCGCCCATTCTGAAGCTTGTGAGGATGTAGTCCCTTGCTTCTGACTGAGAGCAGTCAATCCAGAAGGCTTTGCGACAAGCTTCAGCCTCCTCATATGTGAAATGTCTCAGGCACTTCTTCGTGCAGCAGTCTGCTGATAGTACGGCATGGATAGATTCTGCTGAAGTCCTCGCTGCTGCAGTCTTTCCTAACAGCAGTAGGGGGAAGAGATAGCAAACTGTTAGAATAAGTGTCACACACCATAAAGTCAATCAATTTGAAGCATTTTTCCTTTCACTCACTCACTCACTCACTCACTCACTCACTCACTCACTCACTCACTCACTCACTCACTCACTCACTCACCCACTCACCCACATACCCAACTCACTCACTCACTCACTCACTCACCCACTCACCCACTCACTCACCCACATACCCACCCACCCAACTCACTCACTCACTCACTCATTCACTCACTCACTTCTCTTGCACGGAGTGTGTAGAGCACACCTGGAGAACCAGCTCATTTTCATTACAATGAATAATTTAATTGCTTGTAGATTTATTTAGTAGATTAGCTATTGCTCAATGCAAAGCCAATGGACCATTTGGGTATGAGCTAGGTCAGTAGGGTATCTACACGAGAGGGAAGCATGTGCTTGGGAGGGAGTTCCATAATTTTAGCAGTTTCATATTGCCATGAATATAATGTTTATTTTTTGATTGAAAGGTCTATTGCTATAACTTAACATTGTCCAACATATCCTAAAACTCAAATATTGAATCAAGTTACTGATAGCCACTGTGATATGATTTTAATAGTCTGTGCTTGCCATAAAACCCACACACACACATGTACACACACACACACACACACACACACACCTAAGCAGGGTCATTACCAGAGAATTTTAATAATTTCTGTAAAATTTTTGCATGGTAAGATTATCAGTGGGCCTTAAACATGTTCTATGGAGTTTTAATGTAGGCATCAGGTCATAACATACCCGGGATATGCCGCTTTGTTCCATCCTGTTCAGAGTCTTCATTTGTTTGGCCGAAGAACGAATCTGTGATGTCTTCTAGTTCAGGGTCTTCATTTGTTCGGCCGAAGAACAAATGTGTCACATCTTCAAGCTGACTCGGAGAGTCTTCCTTTGTTTGGCCGAAAAACAAATGTGTCACAATCTTCTATAGGTTCTTCTTGTGCATCATCTACATAAGGGAAAAATAACAGTAGTCCTAATGTCAACTTTCCATGACTGATTTGTCTGATGAGTTGATGCATTTTCTATATACATGTAATTATGTTGTTACTACCGATAATACGTAAAATCCTGAACATGTAAGAGCTCATAACATCGTGCATCAGGAACCTGGCATTCAATGATATGTAATTGCTAAGTTAAACTCATCATGCATTACAAATGACTGTCAAAGATTACTGTAACTGTACTACATGACTGTATTTAGTTTGTCCTGACTTTTATCTTGTACTTAAAAGTAGATAAATTGTTAACATTCATCATTCATCATGAATCATTTCAAAATTCTATGTTGAATAGTAAAACAACTGCTAGATACAACACACTCAGGTACTGTATGCTGAAGTCGTTTCAGACTGCCGAATTCATGGTTAATTACGGTATATTTTCCATTCATAAATTGTGATTACCTTCAAGTTGGTCAGATATGGTCCCCTCAGGTGGTTTATTTGGCATCTCTTCTCCAATGTCAAAGGGTGTTGAAGACAAGTCTTCAATGTCACACTCTGAAAGGAGAAAGTTGATATAAAAAAAAAATCAGTTAAAATAAGTTTAGGCCCGAAGGCTTCTTGGGGAAATAGTTATAGAGGTCAAACGTGTTCCAACACAAAGAAGAAACTGGGGAAATGTTGCAAATATGTTAAAATATTTCCATCACTGATCAGTGAAAATCCATTCCAATGTCACCAAGAGATTGTATTTTCATTGTCATTTAGAAATGCCTTCAATTCTTTGTAATTGTGTATTTCAACAATGCAACGACAGCAACATAACAACATTGAGAATATTTCCAGGTTGTGGGAAACTTTTGAAATATTCCTAAATGTGGAATATGATATTTCCATTAGTTTCTGAATATTTGTATTAAACAGCATTCTGTCATTTTTACCATTATACAGGCCACACCAATTTAATAAATTGGTGGGTCATCAGGCGAATTCAATTTGGTTGACTTCTCAGATTTGCCTGCTTCACCGCTTTGTTTTTTCCTGATTAGAAAAAAAACAACAAAAAAGATTCTTGATCTGAATCCACTTATCAAAATGTTCATATTTAGGCCCAAACAGTTGAAGAGAGCACCTTGTCTTCCTAGTAGTTGTAAACAGTTACAGCTTTTTAACCCATCTAGCAATCATGCATTCAATTTGGTACAATAAAACTGGAAAACAGATTCTGAAGCAAATTGACAACTTAAAGATAACTGATTAGTAATACAAAATATGTACCTTTTTCAGACATTTGCTCTGTTGTTCTGCTGGGCAATTTCACTTCTGTCTGATGTATACAGTAGGTCTGGCTGCAATAACTTGTACTGTCTGTGTGAGGCTTGGGGAAGCTAATTATGCAAATGCTTTGGTACGCGAATGACAATGGCTTGGGCTGCAACCTTTCACCAGGTGTCAATGTTGGGTAGCATTGTTCGTGTAATATTCAAATTGCTGTTTGTATTGTTTTGCAACTTGAAACATCCTCCTCACAGCTGAGCTTTGTAGTTACTGTAATGTGTCTGAAAGACAATTGGCTACCCTTGTACTTTATGTGGGGTCTATAGTTTTCTACCTCCATGAACCAAGGACCTTGGTTTCACCAGGGAGTAATATGAAGAATAAACATAGCTAACTACATGAAGGTTCAAGGATCAACAGTCATTTACTCCATGACAGCACTTGTTTTTCATGGCAACGTTCTGGCTTGTAGTGATTGAGCCCAAGTATAATACAAGGAGCTTTCGCTTCTGCTGTCTCTACATTTACATAATATATTTTCAAAAGTGTCTTGAAAGTTGAAGAACTATGTAAGAATTAGGAGAGTAGAAACAGAATGCACCCTTTTTTTTCTTTTCACTATAGCAGTTTTAACATTGAAGTAAAATGCATATTTCAGAACCCCTACTTATAATTCAGTGGAAAAAGTGTACTAGGCAAGGTTCTGGAAGCAGATATTTAGGTGGTTGTTGCGTATAATCGTTTGCGAGTATACGTCTGTTGGGATTGTGACTTACAGTGTATGGTTCACACCTTCAACGATACCTTGTCAAATAAATAATAATGTAGCAAATGAAAGATATTTTTATCAAAGATGACTTTGTTCTCAAAATCTGTTTAGACTGTCGTGTTGTTAAGCTTATGTACAATACGTATTTAGAAAATGTACAACTTCACGGAGAATTGTCGCCTATGGGCATTTGGTTTATTTGAAATGTTAGCAGATGACTGTAAATGTACTGAAATCAGAAATTGTGGCTGCAATAGTTCACAGTTTCTATCATCTGTTTTACAGCAGAGTTGCTGGACACAGCTGTGCCTTGGACTCCCCACGTCTGCAGCAGCTGAAGCTGCACCACTGCATTGCCTGTGGCCAGCGTGCCTCCCACTGGAGACCTGTGTGCTGGGATAGCTTTCCTCTTCTGTCCTTGGGTAAGAACTTTATATTTGAATTACCACATCTGTGGAAGGATTGACATTATTAACAGGTTACAGTAAGTGTCACGTCTTCAAGATGTCAAACCTGAGATCAGACTGTTTGAACCACTCACACCGGGAAGGTCCCCTAAGTGCGGTGGGTTCTTTAATGTGCGTAGGTTGTGGCTCAAACACGGGACCTCCATTTAACGTCCTATCCGATGGACATCCCTAACTGAAGATAGGTACTCATGTCCGCCTGAGAGAAGTGAGGAAAGTCGTGTGTGTGTGTGTAAAGTGCCTTTCCCAAGGGCACAAGATCGGTGATCATATGGATTCGAACCCGGGACCTCTTGGGTCTGAGCTGAACACTACTGTTATGCCACATGACCCCACAGTCTGGTGAGAACAGTTCTGATTCAAGTCAAACTACTACTAGTACATGACTTGCAGCATAAGTTGCGTTGCTGGTTTAAAAAATTAACACCGCTGCCTTACAAGTCTGTGAAGGGGTCTAGTTACTTGTTGCCTTGTCTGTAGGTTACATGTACATGCATATGTACATGTGCATGTTTGTCTGTGCAAGGAAGCCAATACATGTAGTATCATGTTGTGACACTAGTAAAACTGTACATTCAAGAATAGGTCTGAATGATATATTAAATCTACATTGTACAAATGCAACATCATGTTGTCATTGAACTAATTATGGCTGCGAGGTTTCTAGATTTCTGTTGGAATAATTATAGCAACTGACAGTGTTTTTTTAAATTACTTCCTGATTGGTTAATATAGTAAAGAATTATTTTCTACTTAAAATGTCTGAAATAGAAGAAATTAATGATCCAATGTAGTTATCCTGTACCCATCTCTGTACCCACATGTGTTGCCCTACAGATGGTGTCATAAGTGGGATTGTGTCTGTGGACTTGTCCTTCTGTATACCGACTCTGGATGCACAACCCAGCCGACCTCTGGACATGAGTGCCTTAACATGGCTCCTCACACATGACTCAGCAATCCGCTCACTCAGACTACACAACTGTCAGCTGTACACAGAGGAGCTGGTTTCAATCTTTAATGCCATTTCAGGTGATGTCCAAATGTTTGCAGCATCCAAAATTGATAAATGGTTTAAAATACCCACTCTTACACTCTCACCATGCATGTCATAGTTTCTGTATTGGGGATGCTAAGTTGGGGTGTGAAATTTATGGCTTATGAAAATATACTGTAATCTCTAGATGTAGTCAATTTATTGATTTTTAATTAGGTAATGAATTATGTATTGACTGACCACACTTGTTCGGCCTTGGTGCAAACATACATTTGAAGGTTGAACGGTTGGACTAAATTTTCACTCAGTAACCCATTTTTATCTTTGTAGAGTCTCCAGACAGCTGCAAGTTGGAATTGCTTGATGTGTCCTTCAACAACTACAGGTCAGAGAAAGGCTCGGGGGCCTTGGCTCAGCTGATTACCAAGTCTCGCCTGACTTGTCTAAAGATGGAGGTGGTTTCTTCCATTTCTGCTGGTCAGGAGAAATAATCTTTTTGACATTGTTGTAAAGAATTGTTGTTAGGCCACACCGATTTAATTTCTTGGTTAACGGATTTGCCCGCTTCATTTTTTTCTGATTTGCAAATAAAAAGAAAAATTCAGAATCAACTGCAAAATGCTCATATTTTGCCCTGAACAGTTAAAAACAGTCCTTTTTTTTATCCTAGTTGTTACAGTTATTCCATCTTTCAATGCAGTGGTATCATTTAAAGTTCAAAATTCATTGTTTAAATTTTGAACCAGCCTGGTGTGTTGACTTCAGGGCTCCTATGGTACCATTTTGGTCCAAAATAGGATGCCTAGGCCAGTTTTCATTACCTTCGCCAAGAAGGTTATGTTTTCAGTAGCGTTTGTCTGTCTGTCTGCTTGTCTGTCTGTGAACAGCATAACTCAAGAAGCTTAGTATGCATTGTCATGAAACTTTGTAGGTTGTTAGGTCTTGATGAGACCTAGAAGTGATTAGATTTTGGGCCCCCTGGCAGCTTTTGCTGGTACTGCAGCAGAACTTCCGTTTTTGATATCTCGCGATCTAGACATGCTATGGTCAGGAATTTTGGTTGGTACATAGCTCTTGAGGTAGGGAATAAGTGACATGAGTTTGGGTCCCCTAGCAGCTTGTTCTGGAACTGCAGGAGCATTTGTTGAAAAATTTTTGAAGGATGATAACTCAAGAACTGGTTGACAGAATGTCGTGATTTTTGGTTTGTAGGTAGCTGAAGGGATGCTTGACATAATCAAATGACAATTATGGAAATCAGGAGCTAATTTGCATAATTAATGAGGAAATTCTATAAATCTGCTTTGTTCGATAATAGGACTATGAAACACTTGTGACATGTAATTAAGAATTAAAAACATCTGAGGATATAGATTATGTAAATGAAGACCTAATTTGCATAATTAATGGGAAAGTTTTATAATTTTATGGTTGTAACTGCTGGGAATTTCATGTTTGCAACATTTGGAAGTTACTAGTAAGTGAAGGCGAACGTCAATAAACATAATTTATTCAAATCATGACCTCATTTGCATAATTCATGAGGAACTGCTATAATAGCCTTTTTGTTAAGATAAGACTGTCATTGGGTGGAGAATATGATAAACTGATATAACCCATGCAAATGAGGCTCTTATTTGCAAAATCAATCATCAAAATTGTATAATTCTTCAACCGCAAGGGTTAACATCATTTGGCGAAGGTATGAGGTCGTGGAACTCATGTTTTTATTTTTTTTCACCCGCCCGCTCCATTATTTTTCTACAAAAATCCATTAACCAAGAAATTAAATTGATGTGGCCTTATCTGCCTTTTGTATCTAAGTACAACATAAACCTAATGTAGAAAGATAATATGCTGTGACTGAGTAACATGTTCAAATTTATAAGGGGTCTGTATCATTTGGTAGCAAAATTTGTTTCTGATTTCATATCCCCAATTTATTGAATCAGATGTATCTGTCTTAAATTCCCATCATTTATCACCAAGGAATTATCATTGAATTTATGCATTAACTATGCAAATTATATCCTCATTTGCATCTCTGTTAATGCTCCAATTATTCTAAATTGCATGTTACTTAGGGCTCAAAATTCATTTTTGGGAATAAGTGCACTGGTGCACTAAAAAGGGCCTAAAAAGTGGGTGCACTAAAAATATTTTAGGTGCACCATATAAGATAAGATATTAAGTACAATGTCAGCAAAATATCATATATAATGTTTCATTTCAAGAAAAGTACTATAGCAATGATGGTGTTTTTTTCCTGACACTTAGATGTTAAGAATATGGTGTAACTAAAGATCTTTACACACATGCACAGCTCCAAATTTTGGTGCACTAAGGTACACATGCACCCAGTATTTCGAGCCCTGCTATTGAAGACCTAGTCCTGTCATGGAAACGTCTAGAATTACACAATTTCCTCTTTAATTATGCAAACTAAATACTAATTTTCACTTGTGGACTATTCATTAGCTTTGGAGAGAGTTCCGTGATTAGATTTAATTAGTAAGATCATTTGAGGAATTTGTAGTCTGTATTTTACTATCCATGTCATCCCAGGAGCCAGTACCTCGACCTATACAATAATGACTTTACCTTGACTTTCCTCAGGTGGACTCCCCATTGTTACACCTGAAGTTGTTCTTGCTTTAAGGAGGAATACCAGGCTACAGGAACTGTGGCTGTCTGGAAACAGACTGGGTAAGTTTATGAATTGCATTTTTTAAAACCAGACACGAGGAACATTTTAGTGTTTGAAAAACACAGAATGTCAAAAAACCTTTATTGATGTATGAAGCTGCCAAAGGGCAGTTGTATCAGCTATACAGATTTTGATTCCAACTTGATGTAATATTAACCTTTGGTTTCTATACCTTCAGCTCCTCTAAACAAACATGCATGTGTTTCCAGGTGATGCAGGTGTGGAGACATTGATGCAGGTGTTTGCACCGGATGGTAACAGCTGTTTACAGGTGCTGGCCCTGAGGTAGTCACACCACTTTCTGTCAAGTTCACTCAGACATCATTGCAGGAATAATCAATGTATATATGTATGTTGGCAGGAATCTAGATGGATTTTTTAATGGGTTGGTGGTAGATATCAAAAGAATTTTGCTATAATATTGAATGAATGAAAAGTCTCATCTATAACACACATTCAGAACCTTTCCCCGAACACCAACCAACCAAAGTTGGCTGAAGTTTGATTGGGAGCAGTCTGAACAAATTTTGGCCACACCTACCTTTCTAATACATGTAATTGAATGCATTGAATTTGAGACACATTTGACCCCTGAACATGCCCCTGACCTACTGTTTCACATTTTGAAACATTCGGCTTGCACAGCCAGACAGTATAGTACATGTACATAGTAGCTGACCACAACCAGCCTGGCTTGTGAACTACTCCTAACCATGGTTGGTTGGAGTTGCAGTGTTCAGGGGACCATGCATATTCGGCTATACACATATACATTGTATGCACTACCAAAAATGATTTTTCTTGTTTTTCTTGTTTTTCTTAATTCGTGGACAAATTTTCTTACATGAAGAAATTTCAAGAAAAATTAAGAATAAATAAGAAAAGAGCAACAGATCGTTCTAAAATATTTTTCTTGTAAATTTTCACTACAAGAAACATTTTCTTATTTTTCTTACGTGAAGAAATAATTTCTAGCAATGATTTTCTCCCCCTAGAATGTTCTAGAAAATTGAGTTAAATGGTCTTGTTTTTCTTGTCTAAAGAATTACTTTCTTGCCATGGTTAAGAAAATACAAGAATTTTTCCCATAAGTTTCTTGTATTTCTCATAGTAAGAAAAACAAGAAAAGCAGGGTTTAAAAAACAAGTCATAACTAGAATAACATTCTTGAATTTTCTTGTTTTTCATATCAAGAAACTTTGAGAAAGGAAGTTCTTGCTTTTCTTGGGCTGTGTCAGAAAAAACAAGAATTTTGATCTAACCTTTCTTGAGATATATTGCTTGGAAAAACAAGAATATTCAAGATATTGAAACTAGAAGACAAAGATCAAGTCATAACTAGAATAACATTCTTGAATTTTCTTGTTTTTCATATCAAGAAACTTTGAGAAAGGAAGTTCTTGCTTTTCTTGGGCTGTGTCAGAAAAAACAAGAATTTTGTTCTTGACTTTCTTGACATATGTTGCTTAGAAGAAAGTGTTTATTGACAGTAAGAATTTTGGTCTTGAACTGAGAACCAAAGTCTCAAAGATTATAGTGGTATATATATTAAGAATTTCTGTCTTGAGGAAAAAGATATGCATTCTTGTTGTAAGAACATGAAACTTAAATAGAAGAAAGGCTTTCTTGACAATAATAATATAATAATTGATAAGTAATATCACTCTTAAAGTTAGAAAAGGGATCTTGGTGTAAGAATCTATTTTTGGGGTATTAAGAATTTGTTCTTGTTTTTGTAATTTAGAAAGTTGAGCAATCTGATTCTAGTCTAAAATGAAGTCTAGTTGAAGTTCTTTAACGTTTTTGTTTTCCTTATCGAGAAAGTTCAAGAAAGATGAGTTTTTTCCCTGGTAATGTTCAAGATAATGTAAGAATTTTTTTCTTAACAGTCATTCTAGCCATAACTGTCATGTGATCTCTTGTGAGCTCCTGATTGGTTAATTCAAATCCCAGAATGCAGTTAGGGATTTTTGAACAGAAGCTGGGGTGAAGTCAGATGTGGGGGCAGTGCTCTGTGCTGGTTACTTCTTTTTAGTCAGATATTGATTCACATCGTCGGATTTGAAATCAAAATCAAGGTAAAAAGGACCTTTTGTGCATGTGAAGCAACGGTGATCGTGTCGGCTTGCAGAAGAAACCAACTTTGCAACGAAAAAAGGATGGAACCAAACTTATATAAGGTAAGTGCGCCCCCCTCCCCACCAAGAAGAAAAAATCTGTTGACATTGTTTTTAGACTTCATAGCTTATTTGCTACAATTCCATTAGGGTTGATTTCTAAATTGTATCTCTGGTATATTGTAGAGTACAGTGTTTTACTGCATTATAATTATATTATTTTCAATTGTTAAGTAAACTTGAAGTAATTCAATCCTATTTTTAGCATCCTCTTTTGACTTTGTTGTCTTCAGCCCCTGCATGCAATGCAAACTAAGAAAGGTCTTTCCTGTTTTTTTCCAGGTTTCCAAAGACTGTGACTGTGCCAATGCTATAATGCCAAATCTGCAGGGTTTGCTGAATATTTTGGAATGTGATATGATCTGTATTCTTTAACCATAATGGCTTCTTGGTTACATCGTATGATAGTTTTAAGTTTACTGTAAAACTTGTTTCCATTCAAAGAATGTTAGATACATGTACATAATGAATGTGGTAATGAATATTCCTATACTGTCAGTGTCAAGAGGCCTGTCAAATAATTGTTATAGGATTTTAATTGTTGCAATATCATTCTCTGTAACTTTTGTACATTATTTCTTCTTTTGTGGACAAAATAGTTTTATTGATACAAGAATATTGAGCTCTAAGTTCAAGAAATATTTTCTTATGTGCAGAATGTTTTTCTCATTATAAGAACTGTTAGCTAGCTCTTAGCTAAAGAAATGTTTTCTTGTATACAGAATGAGGTTCTTGCTACAAGTCTAGCTCTTAGTTCAAGAAATTTTTTCTCATGTGCAGAATGGTTTTCTTACTATAAGAACAGCTCTTCAAGAAATGTTTTCTGTATACAGAATGATTTTCTTGCTACAAGAATAATTAGCTCTTGGTTCAAGAAATCTTTTCTCATGTGCAGAATGGTTTTCTTACTAGAAGAACGGTTAGCTCTTAGTTCAAGAAATGTTTTCTCGTATACAGAATGACTTTCTTGCTACAAGAATAATTAGCTCTTAGTTCAAGAAATCTTTTCTCATGTGCAGAATGGTTTTCTTACTATAAGAACAGTTAGCTCTTAGTTCAAGAAATGTTTTCTCGTATACAGAATGATTTTCTTGCTACAAGAATAATTAGCTCTTCGTTCAAGAAATCTTTTCTCATGTGCAGAATGGTTTTCTTACTATAAGAACTGTTAGCTCTTAGTTTAAGAAATGTTTTCTTGTATACAGAATGATTTTCTTGCTACAAGAATAATTAGCTCTTCGTTCAAGAAATCTTTTCTTATGTGCAGAATGGTTTCCTTATTATAAGAACTGTTAGCTAGGCTCTTAGTTCAAGAAATGTTTTCTTGTATACAGAATGATTTTCTTGCTACAAGAATAATTAGCTCTTAGTTCAAGAAATATTTTCTTGTCTATAGAATGGATTTCTTATTACAAGAGCAGTTAGATCTTAGTTCAAGAAATCTTTTCTTATATACAGAATATTTTTCTTATTACAAGAACAGTTAACTCTTAGTTCAAGAAATATTTTCTTGTCTACAGAATGGTTTTCTTACTACAAGAACAGTTAGCTCTTAGTTCAAGAAATATTTTCTTGTGGGCAGAATGGTTTTCTTGCTATAAGAACAAATAGCTCTTAGTTCAAGAAATATTTTCTTGTGTAACAGTTAGCTCTTCGTTCAAGTAAATATTTTCCTGCGAACAAGATAGAGATTCTTCATGTAAGAACCCATAATTCTTATCATGAGAAGAATATTCTTAGTATGGGTTTATTAGCTGTAAGAAATAAATTCTGAGAATAAGAACAACGTGGCGTGAGTTTCTTGAATTTTCTGGAAACGGGGATTCTTGTTCAAAGAATAAGGTTCTTGCTGACAGTAAAAAGTTCTTTGCACAAGAAAAATCCTTCTTTTAGTGCAATGCAAGAACATGAATCTTAATCTATTTCTAGGTATCTAAGAATTTTGGTCTTGACAGAAGAAATATATTCTGGGTGTGAGATGATGTAAGAAGCTATTTCTAGCAGATAAGAATGTAGTGTTCCTGGGATAAGAACGAAAATCTTGAAAGAATAAAATAACTTCCAGATTTATAGAATTTTAGGCTTGTATTGAGAACTGCAGTCTTTGTATAAGAACAATTGTCTGCATCACGAATCTTACTGTAAGAATAAGATTCTAGAAGTAACCAACAATAACTTATAATAGAAACCTATAAGAAAAATATTACTTACTGCAAGAAAAAAGTCTAATCAAAGAAAAAATTACTTAAATTCGT